CCGTTCCATACACATTCTTGAATAAGAAGTATAACTCAGCTCTTTGCCTCAATTAAGTGAGAGCCTGGAGGTCTAAATCCAAAAGTAATAACAGATGATGCCTGTCTCAGCCATTCCTAACACACATGTCACAGCACAACAGGGTGCAACAGTTCTTGCTTCACTCTGCATCCTCCTAGGCAAATGATCTAAGCAGTGGAAACCTCTGATGCCAAAGCTGACACCACTATTCTGGCCTCATAGCTGTCTGTTCATATCTGCAATTCCAGAAGAACAAACCATCCTTTTTCCTTCTTTATATATCTTGTGGGCAAGAAGGAACAACTTGGCTAGAAGCCCCTCATGGTTCTTCTTCCTATAAAGACTATCGAGTATGAAGTGTTGAAGAAATTCTGAAGTCGTTGCCATGATGTGGGAGATAGGCAAATAACTTTCCTTGGTGCTGCAGGAGCTGATCCTAATGCCAGCCATGTGTCAAGGACATGCCCACTTATTTAATCAGGAGAATATTTTCCTTTAAGTATTCCTGGGAGTCATGCATCATTGTGCAAGTGCAGAATTCATAGGCCCTGTAGGATATTTTTTTTTCCTCTCTAGAAAATACATTCCACTGGAGAGGTGATGCAATTACAACTTTCTCCCACCATGTGGTGTCAGAACAGAGAGTGGACACTTGATCCGCAGTAGCAATCAACAACAAGCTGTGGTTCTCACTGCACCCTGCCTGAAAATCCAGGTTAGGAGGCATGGGATATGGGATAACAGAACAGGATACATGTGATTTCTGGGGCGGGAGTGGATATGTGTCAAAGACAAGGATTCAAAAGAACTAGTGAGGGACTGACTGGAGTAGGGGCTGAATGGAAATGGGGGTGCAGAGCCACTTTTGGACAGGGATAGGAATGGCTTGGGTACAGGTGCTGGGACACACATGGATAGGTAGAAGAGGAGCACAGGGACACATATGGACAGAGATTATGCATTTATGGGGACTGACTGAATGGGAGAAATTAGGCGTCAGCAAGGATCTGCATGGGGGAGACTCCCCAAGTGCAGAACAATTCCTTCTGCCTCCCCAAAAAACCCTTTGTTCCATCTTCTCCCACCCATCTTCCCAACAACTCTCCAGGCTCACTGCTAGGCTCCTGCCCAGCAATTCTTTCCCTCTCCTGCTGCCCGACTCCCCCTAAGCCTTGCACTATTCCCCACAGGTGTGAGAAATATTTTTCTGCATTGTAGTTTAAATTAATTATTATTCAAAGTTCTGTATTAATTTGCCTAGTGATGAATCTATTTGTCAAAATAACATTTCCTGTAACTTTTTAATGTCTATATTATTATTTCTGGCAGATATTTTTAAATAAATTACTAACATAATTGAAACTGACATTATTGTATTATGTTATTTTGACAAATGTGCAGAATTTTGCAAAATTTTAAAATTCTGTGTGCAGCATTTTAATTTTTTTGGCACAGAACTTTTTGTGTGCGCAGAATTCAGCCAGGAGTACTTAAGAATAAAGATATAAAAATACATTTAATTAAGTAACCATGTAACTGCTGGAAAATTCAAGCCATCTCTTCATGTGCACCGGCTCCCACCTGCCTCCCCCCTGCCACCAGCTGCTTCCTTAGTACATGTGGGGGGGAGTCTTCTCCCTCCAATATGTTCAATCTGTCTTCATGTGAGGGTTTCCCCATCCCCTAGTCATGTTCATTTTCTGCAATACTCTTCCTGAGCTGGGGTAACCAGAGCTGAATTCAATGTTTCCAGTGTTCATATACCATTGATTTACATAATGGCATTTGGCATTATGGGATATCTTTTATCTCATACTAACAACGTCTTTGCTTTTCTAAATGATGACACACTTTGAGCAGAGGTCTTTATTACGCTGTTCAAAATGATATGCAAGTACTTTTTCCCTTGATTTGATGAAGTTAAAGTAAACCCTGTTAGGTGTGTGACTAAATCAATATATTTCCTGCAATGTGTGCATTACTTTGAATTTAAGAACACTGAACTACCTCTGAGATTCAGCTGCCGTTCACTTAGATTGGGTACAGCTCTCTGAATGTCCTCCATTTTCTGTGGTCTAAGTGATTTTCTATCTAATACAAACATTGGTAACTCACTGCTTTAACCTTTTCCATACCATGAGGTGTCATAATAATTGTCACTCGTATTTGTGTAAGAGTATGACTAGACATCAGTTTCCATAGTTGGGCTCAGGAGATATGCCACAGCAAGTTGATGTCTACATTCCCTCCTGCTGTCAGCCAAGGTGGCACAATGATATTCAGTTTTTCATTCTGCTTCCTTCATAGCAAACTGCCAAGCTCATCTATCATGGGCTGTATCCTCCTGAGTCATGAAGTCCAGCTTGGCAGGCTGTATGTTCCACTTTTTGCAATCCTTATAGTGGAGTTTGGGATGGCCAACCTTCCCACTTGCTTTTCAAATTCAATGTACAGAACTCTCACAGGCAGTGAATTCTTTTCATTATAAAGTGGTCAATCCAAGTCATTTGCTTCTGCACTAGCTTGGCTTCTATACTTCACGTGGCTGCCAGCTCTAGTACCTCACTGTCATGATCATGAGGGTTAGCCATCAGCCTGGGGACCAAGGGGTTAACTATACCTAACTCAGGTAGAGTTAGCCAATAAGAATGTAGGTAGGAATCTCAAACTAGGACAAAGGAATTTTTGGGTTTCCCACCTTTGTCCTGGGAGTTGTTCTCTCCAGCTACTGAGGGAGACAGACATGTCTCTCTCTCCAAGAAACAATTCTTCACTTTCTGTGAGTAGGGTAAAGTTTAGATAAATCCGTTAGGTTTTGTTATTTTATGGTTTGGGAAATGGGATCTGATGTTTTGGCTTTCCTTTGTAACTAAGTTCTAGGCCCATGGAGTTTCTCCATGAGTATATTATTTTGTTACTTTTCCATCTAGTTATTACACTTGCAACAGGAATATTATGGTGAAAATAAAAGATTTCTCTTTTCTCTTTGTTAACTTGGTATTGGCTAATTTTTGTGTCCTGGTTTGTACTGTAGGGGTGAGATTTCCCAAGTAGTCTCTCCCTGATTTCTTTAGCATATTTGGGTGGTGACAGCGGAGATTTTATTCCCAAAATCTAGGTTGTTAAGATTTTGGGAGGAAGTTTTATACCAAAGCCTGGCAGATAAGGTTTTGGGGTACTTTTGCTGGCCACCACTTCTGCATATATTGTGTCAGAGTGGGGAAGGAGCCATGACACTCACTGTTGGTGATTTTGTCAGATCACTTTATTCCCATGATCCTGCATCGGCAGCACATGCAAGGCACTGTTACAGACAGTTTAGTTCTTGGATAAGAGAAAGATAAAGACGGCAGGTCTCTAAGGAGTATTATAGACAAGAAAGTACAGCAGCTGTGTAAACTTAGCATTTTACTTTGCAACCTGGACCCCTTAACTCCATTCATCTGAAGAAGTGGGTTGTGCCCAAAAAGTTCATGATGCTGTCTACATTTTTTGTTAGTCTCTAAGATGCTGCAGGAGTATTTGTTGATTTTTTCTTTTTTTCATTTACAGATTAACATGGCTACCCCTCTGAGACCTTTTAGCATTTTGTGTTGTGGCAAAAGAATATAAAAGGCAGCTTCATCTTGTCCATTTGGTCTTTAGTTCTGGTCTTTAGCTCTGGAGCAACTTTTGTACAAACCAAAACTCTGAACAAGGGACTACATGACCCACCCAAACGGTGGGTGTATTCCAGATTTTCAGTCCAACACACTCACCAATACTGCTACGAGGCTGATCTATGGATTTGAACACCATTTAGGGGCAGAAGAACATTTTGTGTATATGACAAGAGTTTTTTTTCTTGTAAATCAAGGTAGGGGATCAGAAGCATAGTTTGTGACTGTGGGGTTTAACTTCAGTGTTACCCACAACTGTGTGGAGAGTATCTACGCTCCTTTTTGCAACCTGCCCTGACCTTAGCATTTCCAGTGCAGGTGGCCCCATGCAAACCTGTGTAACAACCAGTTTCTCAGGCTTGTTAGTACTACCTAGGAAAGTGACACCTTGAGACTTTTGGTGAAGGGTTAAATGAATAACAATGGTGAGATGCTGGGAAGGTGAAAATTGTTGACACCAGTAGCTTGCCCATGCAAAATTGTTCAATGTGCAAGCTGCAGTGCATAGTAGCAGGATGCACACTTCGTAATACCTCAACCTTTACGAGACTCACTGGATGGACGGTGCTATCCCTGAACTGTAGTACTATCAAAGCCAGATATGTGGCTCCTGCCATTGTTTACAGATGGTCTTTGGCAAGCACCTGAGACTAGATAGTCACTGAGCTATATTATCACTTTTCTGGACAATTAAGCCCTAACTGTTTACCAAGACCATTACTTTCCATTTTGACAAGACATTCTCAGTTGTTTGTCATGATGAACCATGTATTGCACTAAATCACACCAGCTGAGATTTTTGTCAGTTATGCACAGGTATAAATGACTACACAATGTGAAAGTCAGTGGAGAAACAACCCCTTACCTTCATCTTATATGTCTTACTATATCTCCAATAAGCATCTCTCATATTTTGCACTACTGAAGATGGAAAGTATGCATGATTGCAGTAGAATTTGTATGTGCAGAACAAAAAATGTGAGCAATAGAGAATTACAGTGTGGATTACAGAGGAGAGAATTTTGATCTAATAAATCCAAATTTTCATAAAAGTACGCTTTCTTACATCATGGTAAAAAGCAAACTGCCTTGTACAGTCCTTGATCTCAGCTAATCATTTCTGAATTCAAATCCATGTTTCAAAACTTCAGTGTTTTTCATTATATGTAATAAAATATTTGCATCATATATTTTAGCTTGATAGCACTGCATGTCCAGTTTAAGACAAACCCAAGTATTAAACTCTTAGCATGTAATCCAAAAAACAATGTCCTTGTATCACTGTGGCCAGTACCAGTTACTGAAAGAATTGATACTCACGGAGACTACATTCACAAAATCATCATCTGACAAGGTTTCTAGCATCTCAATGACGGAGGTTCGGATCAATTTCAGTGTCAAGCCACTAACACTCCCACTCCTATATAACAGAAAAATAATTTTAAAAATGATTGAATACTGGAACTAGATTTTATAAACCTGACTCTCAGATTTTCATATTGAAGATTAGCTCCAAATTTCACCTTTACTAGTTGCTCTGCAATGGCAATACTTGATGTCCTCTCTCTAAGTTCCAGGGCTAATCTCTAAGCTAAAACTTTGTGCTCAGAGAAACAATTTGTCACTTGACCCATTCTGACACGTCCTTTTGTTCATTTTCAATTGATGATTGCCATGATAATTCATCACATGCAAATTATATGTTCCGTAAATATTCTTCTACTCTCTTACATTCAGTCAAGGCTTTCCGTTTTCAGGAATTTAAATTGTAGCTTGTTTGTTTCAGGGCAAAGCTCAAATTTTGGATGAAGGGGTGGAACTGCAAATGCTGATAAATCCCACTTCTGCAATATGGAAGTATTTCACTGCATTTAAAAGCATCAAATGCAATCTCTCCCACTGAGGCAAAGAACCAAAGAACAGATTTTTTTTTCAGTGCAAAGCAATCTGTGAAACACTTCAAGACAGACTCTTGACGTTAACTTAACAAAGGAAGACTTGACGGGGTACAGAGAAATGTTTTTTTATGAATTTCTTCCATTACTCTTCATACAGCAAAGAAGAAATCTCTGAATATAAATACCAAATCAGAGGCAGATTTATTTATACATTGGGAAATGGAAACTGTAAAATTGTCATAGGATTTTATAACAATATCTTCTTTAACATTATTATATAAACCCCCATTTGAGTAATGGATGAATAAAGGAAAATCAATATAGCTTCTGTCCCTAAAATATGCACTATTACCTTCAACATTAGGTCACCTGGCAGGGGCGGATATAGGGCGGGGCGAACGGGGCGGCCACTCCGGGCCTCGCGCTTAAAAAAGCCCCGCGCATGCGCCATGGCGCCACCGCGCATGCGCATGGCGTCATGGCGCATGTGCCGTGGCAAAGGGGGGGCCCCACGGAGTTACGCTGCCCGGGGCCCCGCAAAACAGTCATCTGCCCCTGTCACCTGGTATTTAATTTTGGCTTTATATTCAAACTCTTTAAAGTCATACATTTAAATATTTATTTTGACTGTTTCGGGATTAATGTTTTGACCAATCTGAAGGGGTTGGACTTTAGGCTTTTGAACAGGCTGAGATAAACCGTGGAGAGCTAGACTACAATACATGAAGCATAAATGAGTTCTCATCCTTTTGGTCTCCAAACCATAATGAACTCTCAGACAAATCCAGCTCCTGCTTCTAGTCATTTCTTTTGTATTTTGCAGCAAGCTCTAGCATGCATCTGATCTATTTTCAATTGGTTACTTCAGTAACTGAGATGTTGACAATATAAAAACATTAGATGGACATAAAATCATCCTAAAATCAAGACCATTTTTTCAGAAAGACAGGTCTTTTTTTTCTTCAAACTCATCTCTCCTACGCTTTCAATATTGTGTTCAAAAGGTGCCAAATATGTCTGCATCTCTCCAGTATTATTAACTAGTCTTTAAATACTTACGCATCAACCAAAATAAGCATGTCTTTTGGAGACGCAGCTCCTTGAATGTACCTGAAAGACACAAATGAAAAGATGTGGAAGTAAAAAAATTTAAAACACCACTCTTGAATTTGATCTGAAGAGCCTCTCATCTCTAAAACCATGCCAAACTGAACCAAAGGAACTCTTTAATTGGAGGTTACTAGGATATCCATGCAATGTCACTTTTTCTATTATTGCTTCTCCTTCTAAGTAACCAGAGTTCAAGTAACAATAGCAACATTTGGAAGTAGGATGTAGGAATTCGCTATTCTTGTATGTTGACAACTGAGAGAAGTAAATAGGATTTGAAAGCTAAATATGCTCTAATGATAAATTGATAGGTGAATTATTCCAGTGGCCCAACTCAGACATAGATGTTTTTCTAATGAGAGTACAAGAAGAGGTGGGAAGAGCTATGGGAATTATTATATGAGGTTGCCCCTCTTCAAAAGCATGGCGCTGCCATCTTTACTTCTGCTCTGCTGCTAGCAGTGGCATTGTTTTCAGAGCTGGGAAAGCCATTTCTTCACAGTTAAATTATAGAGGGAAACATTCCACGGCCTCTGCAAATAGTTGCTCATGAGATGAGGTCTCTCTTTGGAGGAAGTTGCAAAGGCAGGTTTGACTTTATATTCAAACAATATGAATACAATAAGCAGTGAGCAAATAATAGGATGGTATGCTGATGGAAAAATGCTAAAAATCACTATAGAAAACAGCAATGTCCACTGCCATTTAAGGTGCTCTGCTGATCATAGTACTAGCCTACCACTCAAGGATTATGCTTGTTAATCATTCGGGAAAAAAGAATGGTTTGTTTTTGTCATCTTAATTTGGCTTGGTTTGTTGCTGTCAATAATCTTATCTTCATGCCACTTGGGTATCTGTCTTCATTTTTAAAATTCCTTCTGCACAGAAACATGGTATGGCACATATATTCTGTACATAGGAAGTGGACTGAATTTACAAAGAAAGTGAAAATATTTTAAAAGCAGAACTTTTAGTCCTCAAAAGTTATCAGAGGAGGGTTTAATGTAGGCTTAGCACATTTTTATTATTAATTTTGTTTTTTATGAGAATATGTAGTACGTTGACAATTTCATGTGCTTCATACATCCAAAGAAAGCTTACCATGGTCTCCTGCGAACATCATATAGATCTATCTTGTTTGGGGTTCGGCTTTTATCAACCCACGGGGATGCTAAAAATGAAAGAAGATATATTGTACTCCTTTCAGTGTCTTGCACATCATCTGAATAAAGCAACATAATGCTAAAGACTTTTAGATAATATTTTTAAAACTTTTAGACATGGCATACCAATATTTCATATTATTAGCACTATATAAATAACAACATGTGATAAGAAGAAGTTAGAATGTTCTTTGTCTTCATACACTTTTAATGAAAGCAATCATTTTTGTAAACAGTTGAAAGGAAAAAATCCTAATTCCACTTAAGTTAACAGAAGTATTTCCATAGAAATACATCCGTACTTCAAGGGTACCAGGATTTCACCCTATGGAAATTCAAGCCTGATCCAAAGCTTATTGAAGTTTATAGGACCCTTTGCACTGATTTAAATGGGCTTTGGCTGAAATATCAAATTAGGAAACAGATGTTTAATGAAAATATCCTGGAAATGAAAGGTAACGACAATATCAAAGTCTGCACAAATACAGAAAAGGAAAATTTGAAGAGATCATAAATAATTTTAATATTTGTAGTACATCAGCATGATATTTCCTGACGATAAAGATATTAGTAATTAAACTCTCCCTGCACTTTTGGGACCTAAAGAGCCTTCAAGTGATTAAACAAAGCAATAAAGTCACTCTGAACAAATCTGGTATTGGATACAGCAGTGTAAATCCAGAAAACTCGTTACCAACAACCTAGGTCCAAATGTAGCATCAACATTATCAGTAATTATTACTAAGTATCAATAATAAGACCAATGTCTGAGTAAAGACAGAGATGATGATCTTCATGTGATGGTTAAAGGAAATCTGTCCCTCCTGATGATATTAAATATTGTACTTGTGACAGTCTCGTTTTCTGTTGTCTTTCACATCTCTCAGTTACAGTGACTTCCACTGGGCCTTTCTAAAATGATCAATATAATTTCTAACCCGGAACATCCATTATTTTTGCTGGAAATCAAGTGCAAGCTCCTTGGGCTAGGGAACATATGTGGATATTTGTTCAGCATAATTTGTATTGCTGGTGTCCAATAAATAATTATACAGAGACCTTTTAAAAGTCTGAACAGACATACAGGATTGTGTGAACCTGATCCAAGAATTCATCTCCAAAATTCTCCTGACTTTAGGTAAGTTTTTATTCAATGTGAGATTTGTAGATTGGGTTAATCTCTACACAAAAGGTAAATATAGAGCAGTTATGTTCCACTGCCCATGGAGAATAGCAGTGGTAAATACCACTGCCAATGAGTTACTGTGCAATCAATTAATCATAGAATCATAGAGCTGGAAAAAACCTCAGAAGGTCATCAAGTCCAGCCCCCTGCTCTAGGCAGGACCAATCCCAACTAAATCAACCCAGCCAGGGCTTTGTCAAGCCGAGACTTAAAAACCTCTAGGGATGGAGGCTCCACTATATCCCTAGGTAACCCATTCCAGTGCTTCACCACCCTCCTAGTGAAATAGTTTTTCCTAATATCCAAGCTAGACCTCTCCTACCGCAACTTGAGACCATTGCTCCTTGTTCTGCTACCTGTCACTACTGAGAAAAGCCTTTCTTCACCCTCTTTGGAACCTCCCTTCAGGAAGATGAAGGCTGCTATCAAATCCCTCCTCACTCTTCTCTTCTGCAAACTAAACAGACCCAACTCCCTCAGCCTCTCCTCATAGGTCATATGCTCCAGCTCCCTAATCATTTTGGTTGCCCTCCGCTGGACCCTCTCCAATATGTCCACATCCTTTTTGTAATGGGGGGCCCAGAACTGGACACAATACTCCAGATGTGGTCTCACCAAAGCCGAATAAAGGGGAATAATGACATCTCTGGGTCTGCTGGCAATGCTCCTCTTAATGCAACCTAATATGCCATTAGCCTTCTTGGCTACAAGGGCACACTGTTGACTCATATCCAGCTTCTCATCCACTGTAACTCCCAGGTCCTTTGCTGCAGGACTACTACTTAGCTGATTGGTCCTCAGCCTATAACAATGCTTGGGATTCTTCCGTCCCAAGTGCAGGACTCTGCACTTGTCCTTGTTGAACCTCATCAGGGTTCTTGTGGCCCAATCCTCCAATTTATCTAAGTCATTCTGGACCCTATCTCTGCCCTGAAGCGTATCTACCTCTCCCCCTAGCTTAATGTCACCCCCCGGCATTCTCGAGCTATACATTTAAACCCCTCCCTGGTCATTCGTCAAAGTTTCCACTTTTTGTAAGCTTCCTTTTTGTGCTTAAGTTCACCAAGGATTTCCCCTGTAAGTCAATCCAGTCTCTTACCATGTTTGCCTCTCTTGCTACACATTGGGATGGTTTCTTTCTGTGCCTTCACCCAAGTCCACCGCTCGTCAGTTTCAGTAGCAGCGGCGGCGGACTTGGGTAAGTGGCAGAGCAGAGCAGCTGGGGTGCTGCCGGGTTGGTCCCGCAGAGCCGCCCCTCATCCCCCCGGCTCGGCGATAACTACTGCAGTCTGGGGGGTGGGGAGCCCACTCTTGGCGGCGGCGCGGGGCTGAGCACAGCTGGAACGGTGCAAGTTCGGGGTCTTAGCTCTCGCCCCCTCTCCTCCGCTGCCGCTTGCAGGCCGGCAGCTGGGTTTCCCCAGCTGGCCTGTCGCCGGCGGCTGCGCGGGGCTTCCCCCGCCTTCCTGCAAAACAGTGGAGGGTTCACCCTAGCCGTGCCACCCTCCACCGCCCGTCTGGACACAGTGCAGGTCCCAGCAGACCCGTAACAGGGGTATAATCCCCTTCCCTTTCCCAGTCATGAGTGCCCATGGGGCTCAAAGCAGCACCAATTGTCCAGCTGACTGGAGCACTTCTGGGTTCTAGTTGGTGCCAGACTATCAGGAGTGCCGGACCACTGGATGCCGGACAATTGTACAGTTTTACTGTACAATGATTTTATACATGTAATGACCATTGTCTGTATTAGCACCTGACTATCAAAATATAAACACACAAGCAAACAGCACAAAAACTATATACCACTTTCATTTATACAAAAATCACACATCTTAGTCTTCTACACCACAAAAGCTGCAAAGTACTTCATATACTCTATATGAAATTTCCAGGCCTGAGAGAGTAAAATATATAAGAATGACTGGACTTCAAATTTCTGAGTAAGTTTGTCAGCGTTTACTGAGATATGCAGTGACTTGCAGTGACTAAACATGTAGGAAGACAGCAATTCTTTAATTTTGATGCTCTGTACAGGACAAGAATTTGTGTTTGCTTAGTGATGATTACATCTAGGTTCATATTTATTGTTTTGTGATCCACACAGATGAATTCATTTATTAAAATCTGATATGAGGATTCTTGCTTTAAAAACTCCCTCTGGGGCTTAAGAAATGTGTATTTAATGTATTCATTGAGGTTTATTTAAAGTGTGTAGTCTAGGCAAACATACAAAATGTAATTCAAAGTACAAACAAAAATCAAACTTTACTGATGCCCACAATTATAGACTTTGCCTATAGAATACAAGAATATCCCTTACCAAGTTTTTTTAACCCAATCAAAACTCCTTGAGAAAGTCTTGGGGAGCAGACAATTCCAATTATTCACATGGATCAATCTAGCTTCTTTTCAGGAAGGTCCATTCATATCAAACCAAAGCATCTTTGAATTTATAAAGCATCTGATGAATTTATAAAGGACAATCATATTTCCCTTCAGACTTCATTTGGTTAGGTTAAACAAGCAAAACTCCTTGCCTCTCCTCTTATAAAATAGGTTTTCTCTTCCTCTTATCATTCCAGTAGCCTTTCTCTGCATGTATTCCAGTTTGAATTCATTTTTCGTTAACACTGAGGACTTGAATTACACACAGTATTCTGGAGGAGGGCTTACCTTAAATAATGGCAATAACATTTCCCTATATCTATGGAAACACCTTGCTTGATACATTCTAGGATTGCATTAGCCTTTCTCATTGCAGCATCATATTGGTGATGTATAGTCATCCTGTGATCAGTCAGTACATCCAGACCTTTCTTCTGTGTCACTTGCAAGTAATATGGCCCCAGTTGTTAGTGTGTAAGTATATGTTCTTGCACTCTGCATTATTAAATTTCATCCCTTTTCTTACTGGCTAATTGAGTGCCAACTCTGCCCAGAGAACTACCTAAGCGATTTCACCACTGGACCCAACCACATCAGCCACTAAATCAGAGGCTCATTTAACTGCACATCCAGTAATGTGATCTATGCCAGCAATGCTCCACTGCAATGTATATTGGCCAAAATAGACAGTCTCTATGGGAAAGAATTAATGGACACAAATCAGATATCTGAAAAGGCAACACAGAAAAACCTGTTGGAAAACACTTTAATCTTCCTGGACACTCATGAACGGATCTCCAAGTCGCAGTTTTGTTTTAGACCAATTCCACAAGCCAAATACACAGAGAAGGGTAGGAACTTAACTTCATTCACAAGTTTAATTCTTATGCAAATAGTATGAATCAGGATATCAGATGGCTCACACATTATCAACCAACCAAACAGTGAAGGTGCTAATGGTTCTTAATGGCTGTGTAGAATCTGGTGTTAGTCATCTTCCTTTCCAAGTGCAAACTAATGGTTCTTATCAGCCTCTTGTAACTATTTACTCTTTTAGATGCTACTAGACTATTTGTTGTTTTTTAAATTTTTCCTGTTACAGACCAACTTGGCTATCCCTCTGAAGCTTATCTACTCATTATCTCTTTTTTCTTCTTCCCCTCCATTTTTTTGCCTTATCTCTCCCTCCCTTCCGCTTCCCTTACGTATTATATTCTTGGATCTGGACTTCCAACACTCCTGTCATCTGAAGAAGTGGATGGTGCCCACAAAAGCTCAAGATACCATCTACATGTTTTGTTAGTCTTTAAGATGTTATTAGACTATTTGTTGTTGTTTAAATTTTTTTTCTTTTTATAACCTCTAATTCTGAATGCTCCAGAGGAATATACAGTATATGTAGATTGATTGACAAGAGAACTTACACTGAGTGTTGCAATA